TTCTAAAAGAAACATAACAATATTGTTTTATGTACTTTCACTTTTCACGTATAGTATAACTACTCTTTAAGATTAAGTACTGTGTATCTCAAAAACCAGAGCTAATAAAAATTTTTCATTGTTATTTTCGTTTTTATCACCCCAAAATTAGTAGAAATTGACTAATTTAGTGTAGGAAACATTCAAAAAATATTTTTTTGTTGTGTTGTGTTGTCGATCGATCTCAAAAAGACTGACAGACTTTTAACAAGGAAAATAAGTTTATCGGGCTTAAAACCTCCCGAAACCTTTAAAAACAAACTGAACTTCTTTGAAGATGTGAAATACCTTGGTACTATCCTCGACAGGAAGCTAACATGGAACCCTACAGAGTAGAGCAAAAAGAGCATATGTGGCTTATGAGCAATGTCGGAGGACAGTGGGACGCACATGGGGTTTTTCACTCCGTGTGGTCACCTGGATCTACACTGCAATAATAAGACCTATGTTAACGTACGACGCCATTGCAAGGGGACCGAAAGTTCTACAAGCAATGGTCATCCAAAAATTATATCAAATCCAACAATTGCTGGAACATCACGGGAGCCATGAGAACAACACCAACCGCGACAATGGCAATGGAATTATTTACTGATCTGACCCCTCTGAACCTGTATGATAAGAAGGTTGCGTTATTGGTCATGTTACGATTGTGCACGGCTGGTGTAAACATCGAAGTAAGAATGGGTCAATTGAGGCTGAGCCTCTGGCAAGAAGCGCTTACTGCACAACCTCTGCTGCAGGCAATCAGGGATGCAATTGACTCGGGTTTGTGTTTAATAAACCCTACAAAATATAAATGAAACAGAACACAGAGTCAATACGCATATATACAGACGGCTCAAAAACCAAAGAAGTTTCAGGATGTGGAGTATACTCCAGATCACTAAGCCTAAGGATTAAGTTGGGAATGGGAAAAAATACCAGCGTGGTTCAAACAGAACTGGCTGGTATCTCAATCGCCACAGAAGAAATAAACAGGAAAGGAATTTCTGGCAAAAACATAACAATCTGCACTGATAGCAGAAAAGGCCTAGTAACCTTGAACAGAAAATGTGTTACCTCAAAGTTAGTACTAGAGTGCCACCAAGATTTAGCCAAAGCCTCGGTAGATAATAACATTATCCTGAGATAGATTGAAGGGCACGACAGGAGTAATGGTAATCGCATAGCCGACTCTTTAGCCAAGGAAGCAGCTGGACTGAGAATTTTAGGACCCAGTGACTAAGGACTAAGGCCTAATGACTTCGACAATTGCGGAACTAACCAAACGTCACACTAATACTCAATCCCTAAAGATATGGGATGAAATCAAAGGATGCAGTTTTGTCAGGATCGCCCTTGGCGACCCTGGGAAGCTAGCGCCGAAGAAATATGTGGACCAGGACCAGGAAAAAATCTACGCTTAACAGTAAGACTTCTGACTGGACATTGTCAACTAGAAACTCCTCCACAATATAGGTCTAGTGGACACACCTCTATGCAGAATATGTAAACAAGAAGATGAAACTGTCAGGTATGTCCTATGAGAATGTCCGGAGTTATCGTCAATAAGAGAGTGTGTGTTCGGCGAGTCTTGACCTACACCTGCCGATATTAAGGAGATGTCTCCCAGAGACCTGTTCACCTTCCTGGGAAGGACAGGATGGACGATGACCTAGGAGGACAACTCCTTGAGAGGATGTACAATGGGTCACATGTGGCCTAAGTGCTGTGGGCCTACACTCACCCTACCTACTCTACAGATACAGATAACCCAATCTTCAAGGTTTTCTGTGATTTTTTTTAGTTATGTAAATTATTTCTGTGAAGTGGGATTCATCTCATGGCAAACCTTTTTGAAATGTAGAAAAATAATATAGATTGAATATAATGGGTCATTCATATCCACTTGGCGAATTTATAAAGAATATTT